CTCTGCATGTGTTCCCCCCTCCCCCCACCCCAGAGCTTCAGAATGCTTCAGAAAGGTAAAAGGGAGTGAGTGGATTGAGTTGCAAGATAAACCCTAAGATTTAAAAACCCAACTGAAATTCCTAAGGGCGGGGGAGAGAAAGGAGGGAGCTGGCCGCTAAGGGCAGTCTTAGGAGAAGGGATGGGAGGGAACACTCAAGTCCAGTATCCCAGGGATGCTGGTACTCCTAGATCCTTCCAGATATACCATTTCTTCCCCAAATATAAGAAAAGAGATAGTGCCAACTGAAGTGGCCAGTGTGATTAGTGGCCCATAAGAATAGGAAAGATGGTCAAACCGCCCCCTTTGTGTCAGGGCTAGAGGGGCCCGGCTTACCAGAGTCGCTGCTGGTGGTGGGTGGTGTCTCCTCATGGAGCACCAGGGGCTCGGGGCTGGCCCGCGGGGAGGAAGCAGCGGAGGACAGTAGAGAGTCCGAGGACGGGGAGAAGGCGGTGGAGTCCGGGGAGGCGCAGGGCTTGGGCGAGCTGCTGTCGTTGAGCGGGTAGGGGAAGACCACAGAGGGGTCGATGCATTCGGAAGCGGCGGCGCTCAGGTCTTGCAGGTACAGGCTGGACGTGGAGCAGGCGCCCTGCCCGCGGGCGGGGCTCCGACTACCGCCGTCTTTGCGCGCAGCCTGGTAGGAGGCCAGCTTCTCCGAGACAAGCTTGGCGGCGGCGGAGAAGCCGCTCCACATACAGTCCTGGATGATGATGTTTTTGATGAAGGTCTCGTCTTCCGGGTCGCAGATGAAGCTCTGGTTCACCATGTCTCCTCCTAGCAGCTCGGTCACCATCTCCAACTGGTCGGCCGTGGAAAAGCTGCCACCGCCGCCATCATCATCGTCCCTGGGGGAGAAGGACGCGAACGCAACGTAGGAGGGCGAGCAGAGCCCGGAGCGGCGGCTCGGCGACAGGGGCGGGGTGGGCAGCAGCTCGAATTTCTTCCAGATATCCTCGCTCGGCGCCGGCGGCTGCAGCTCGCTCTGCTGCTGCTGGTGGTAGAAGTTCTCCTCCTCGTCGCAGTAGAAATAGGGCTGCACCGAGTCGTAGTCGAGGTCATAGTTCCTGCTGGCGAAGCTGACGTTGAGGGGCATCGCGGCAGCCTGCTGAGGGGGGGGCACACAAAGGGAGGGGGGCGTCTTTTGAGTTATGGGGATTTGGGTTGGTGCCGCAACCAGGCGCAGCGTGCGCCACGATTTTGAACCACTCCCCTTCCAGAGCTATCCCCCAAAGGGGCCAGTGGCGGGGGGGCAGGCGAGGGCACCCGTTCATTCCTCCCGGGTGACCCCCTATTATCTCGGATACACACTAGGTGAACCAGCTGCGGAGCGCCAGCCCAGAGCGCGAAGCCTAGGAGTCTGCCGACCCCTCAGCCGCCGAGCAGTCGAAATCGGTTTTGGCCTTGGTGAAGGCCGGGGCAGGCGGCGGCGGGGAACACATCTGCCAAACCTGAAAGTCTCCCAAGTTTTGCGCCACCTGAAGGAGAAGGCGAGAGGCGCTGCGGCCGTAGCAGCTGCGAGAGGCAACCTCTCGCGCCTGGGCCCCTTCGCGCCGCGCCCCTTTCCCACTCGCGCCCTCACCGCGCTCCTTTCCCTGCAGGCGCCACCGCCCGTCGCAGCCTCCCTCTCCGCCTCCTCCATCCCCACCCCCAGCGCGCGCCCCCCCCCTTCCTTTGCCGGCTTTTCTTCTTTCCCTTCGCCGGCTGGTGCGGCGAGCTCAGCCGCGGGCCTTAACACTTCCCCCCATAAATAAAAGGGGGCGTTAGAGAATAACAGGGGCACCTCCCTTCAATACCAAATTCGGCGACGCAACTGCGCCAGAGACCCTGCTGCGATTCTGCGCCCCGAGCGGGGCGCCTTCCCTTCACCCGCCGAGGGTAGCAGCTGTTCTGGAAAAGCCCAGGCCCCCGCTCCTTGCCGACCCTCCGCCTTGAAGGGGCGCAAGGACACCCGGGGCAGCGGGGGGAGCCAAGCCTTGGGTGCGGAGGTTTGCCCTCATTTTCTAAGTCAATGAATCCAGGAGAATCGGACACATCCCAGCCCCAGCCTCTCCTCGCGCCTCCCCAACACCAAGTCCTAACACCTCGGTAGAACAAGATCTTTAATTTTATTATTCTCTTAAAAAGCCAAATGACAACTTCTTATAAGTACAAAGGGCGACTGGAAACGCCGCGGGGATCCGCAGGCAGGACGCGCTGCAGTGTCTCCGGCTGTCAGAAAAGACGAAATTTAAATGCCCTTTCGGAGACGGAGAAAAGTCAGCGGCTGCGGAGCTCTCAAACGCAATATGTAATCCTTACTCCAAGGAGCTCTGGATGCAAAGGGCTTTCTGCCCACCGTGAAGCATAGCCCCGCTCCGCCTCCCCACAACCGTCCTCCCCAAAACCAATTAATGCAATAAAGCAGGAATGTACAACCCGCCGGGCTCTGCGTCAATATTCATCGGCAAAAATCTCCGAAGGCAAATTTTTAAAAAACGTACTCCTGTTTTCTCTCTGCTTTCCACCCTCCCATTTTGACAAGTCACTCTACCCCGATCCAGTTCTGCTTCGTCCCCACCCCACCGCGACCTACAACTACTCTGAGAAGTATAAATAGCGCAGGAATGGGGGGAAAAGACACCCCAATTCGGGTGTTCGACTCATCGCGGCAGTAAAGCGGTAGACAGAAAAATAAAAAGACAAACAGAACAGGTTGCTTACCGGGTTTCCCACTATTCGAAGGAAATCCAGCGTCCAAAAAACGGGGGCGAGGAGCGGGTCTGAGGCAGCGGCGGGGAGAAGTGTCTCCCCAAATAGGCAAAACAGCCTCTCCGAGTCTGGAGAGTCGCGTTCTCGCTCGGGTGTTGTAAGTTCCAGGGGCAAGTGCCCGACAGCTGCAACGGGCAAAGTTTCGTGGATGCGGCAGGAGTTGCGGATCGCTGGCCGGGGTCGACGGGAAGGGTGGGGAGGGGGCGTCTGGGCTGGACGCGAAGCCCTCCTTTCACTCCGGATCTCCCAGCCCTGGGCGCCGGGAGCGCGACTCGGCTCGCCCGCCTAGCTCGGTTCGCTCAGCTCTCCCACCCTTGGCGGATCCGCCCTCTCGCTCCCTCTGCCTCTCGCTGGAATTACTACAGCGAGTCAGATAAAGCGCAGAAAACCTGCTTTTATACGCTGGTAGGATCCCTCCCACCCTGTCCTTTTTCCCGCCAAGCCTCTGAATAGTCCGGCCCTTCCCGAGGCAGGAGGGAGGAAGGCGGCGGTCGGAGCGCGTGAACCAGGGGGGGCAGCCGCTGGTGCGAGAAGCCCGGGGGTTCTCGGTCCCGCAGACCCCGGCCTATAAAGGGCTGGTGGGCGGGGATTCGCGATAGTGGATCTTTTTTCTGCCCCCCCCTCCCCCTCTGCGTTGGAAACTGGGGAGGGGCGCTGGTGAGGAGGGAGGGGCGGAGGAGGAGACGCAGGCTTTGAGCCTGGCACTCCGGTGCGCCGAGCAATAGGATGTAAATAGAGTCACAGCGCAGCATGAATTAACTGCACGCGCCTCCCATTTTCTTTCGCTCCCGCTCAAACCCGGTCCCTTTCCGTGCCACTCCTCTGGCGCAGCACTCTGCTTGACAGACCGCATACTTGTCCTGCGTGCTGAAATCATCACAGGCTGGACAGCTGAGCCAACACTGACAATACACGGTGTACCCACGGCCACGCCACGCACGTCCCGGGAAGCCGGTCGCCTCCCTAAGGCCGGGGGGGGGGAAGGCAGCGTTTGGATAATAAGTCCTATGAAGAGAGGAGGAGAGAAAGGGTATTTATGGGCGCGCACTCTGAGTGTGTGTGGGGTGTTAGTATAGTAGATAGGGATACGTAAATAGGTAGAGGGAGGTAAATGCCTAGAATTACTAAACTCAGAAACGCATCGCCACCTCTGCTTGGAGAGCGCGTTATGAATAACCCCCCACCCTGCATTTGTTAGGGGGTGTTATGCTTTAGGGGTGTATAGCTATCTCGACTGGGCACCGTTCACCCAGAATGAATCCCCCAATTTGCTACCAAGGCAGCAGATTCTCCCTGCCCCGCCCGCGCAGACCTACACCAGGCTCCGCGGGAGCCAGCTGTGCTCCTGGATGCGTCAATTCTAGAGATCTCTCTGCGTGTCCCGGAGCTGGAGTAAAACCGGAGTGAGGCTGTGGGTGCGCGCCGCGGAGGACCGTCCTCCGCCCCATCGAACCCCCCCGTGCCTCTCACTCGGAGCTCCAATTCTGCAGCCAGGTTTCAGAAAAATCCTACTTGCGCTCCGAGGCGCGGGTTTGTACCAGTCCGAGGCTCTCAGGTTTGGGGGGAATCAAAGGCTCTAGAAGATAGAATATTGGGGGGTGGGGCGCGAGCCACTGGATAGGACTCCCCAGAAGCGGGAAGGGGGAGACCTTGTGGACCCTGCCCGGGGAATCAGCCGAGACCCTGGTGAGGAAAACCGTTAACTCTTTCCTCCACGGACAAAACTGAAGTTTAACTTCCTTTCTAGGTCTTTTCTCTTTGTTATATATATTTTAATTTTTATAAGTTTGTTTGAGCCTAAACTGACATTAGCCTGGAATCAAGACCTCAAATGCGCCCTTCTTTTCCCTTTATTATTGGAATTCTGATCGTGCACACACACGCAAATACATCGATTGGAATCAAAGGAAGAGGAGGCAAGTATTACTTGTGACTTTTTTTGCGGGGGGAGGGGAATATCTTGAGCCAATTGAAAATTGGCCGAATTTCAGGCATTCATTTCCTAGTTCATTGATCCTAAATTTTTGTTCTGAATGCCATAGTGAAAGTGCATATGTATAATTCTCGTACATCTCTGTAAGACTTCATGTACACGTTGACCCAGAATGTTGCCCAACAGGACAAATGATTTGCTCGCTTCCTCAATCTATATTTAATATTTAATGCGTATTTCCTCGGTATTTGCGATTTTGCATTATACTGGAGTATTAAAAACAAAGGTCTTCTTCCCAACCCTGGTCCCCTCACCCAAAGGCATGTTAAGTAAACTTTTCCACCCCTCCCATTCCAAAACAAAAAAATTCAGGGTTGGATGGGCGCGTGTATTGGTAAATTATTACCGGTAGAGTTTGCAGCTCAGCGTTCAATTGTTAAAAGAGTAGTAACTTCCTCCAAATCGGGCGCACAGCACAGTTCAGCATTAAGGATTGCAAATTACTCCAGCCTCCAGGCGTTTGCTACAAACCCGGAGCGACCAATCCCTGGTCACGATTTTGCTGCAAAGCGTCTTTTCCCCCACCCCCTCCCCGGGCTGCACTCGCGTTCGAGTTTGCGAAAGTAAAGTAAGTGTGCCCTCTACTGGCGTCTGACATCACCGCGTCTTCGCTGCCAACTGACGGTGAGGGGTCTGGTGGGGGGCAGGGGACATCCGGAACTCAGGGGTTCCCGTGGGCGGAAGGATCCCGCGGCTCCCGAAAACCAGCTTTCAGCCATCTCTTCATGGTTTTCTTCAGGTCGGTTGTAGAGAGGCGGAAGGAAGAGAAATTCCTGAAGGGAAAAGTGGCTCAGAGGCGGCCCTGAATAAGGGCGGTAAAAACCCATCACTACTTACTGACAATGGACTGCATCACCCTATGGAAAACTGATGCTATTTATGGATACGGAAAAAAAAAAAGTTCCAGCCAACTCTAAAGCGGCGAAACAAGCTTTAGCCCACAGTCTTAGAAACCCATCATTTTCTAACTAGCAAGATTTAAAGCAGGGCACTGGATTTATTAGAGCATGGTGGGTATTTGGTTTTCCTTATTAGAAAAGAATTATGTTTAATTGGGCTGGTGAACGATAGCTAGCTAGACGTTTTGATAGGGATGGGGGGGGTGCGCGCTTGAGATTCCACTGGGGAAAACAAGGACCATTTTAATAAAGTTTTTATACTGAAAAGAGTGGCAATAAAGGTCGAAGTAAAAGTGAAGGAAACTTATATAGCATGCTTAATGAGTGTGAATACTTCAAGTTTTTATGATGAGAAGGATGCTTGACAGTGTCTGATCGCCTAGTTATATCCTCAGGAAATTTGGCTACAGGGGATCCTTCCTGGAAGAGAAGAGGCCTCTCAGGGTGATTTCCCAGGAATCTGGCACTTTGGGCATTGCTCTGCTGGAGGCTGGAGTGACTGCTCTCCACAGGGACCAAACACAAAAACAAAACATAAACGAACCAACCAGCCAAACAAGAATGAGAAAGGTAGTTTTAGCTTGACATCAGAGGGTAGTTTTTGAAAGTTGCTAAGGATAGCAGATATGCCCTACCTTAAGGCCTGACTACTACATTATGCCAGCCCATTCTAGGACCTGTGAACCGCAGCAGATATGCTGCTTGTGGGTTTAGGACTCAAATCTCATTCTCCATCAGGTTGGTGACATCACCTGAGGTGTTACTTTCAAGTAATAGTTTGGAGGTTTTTTTGTCACCAAACAAGGTAGGGGGCCATCTCATTTTACAAAGGAGGAAATGGAAAGTCATATCTCAAGGAGGTTAAGGGACTTCACTTTTTGGGTGTTTTTTTTTTTTGTAATTTTAAAGAATCTAGTCCTAGACTAGACATTTGCCGAGTTAAGAAATGGCGGAGATGAAAACTAATAATATTTGAGATGACCAAAATGATCCATG